AAAAATAAAATAAAATAAAATAAGATTTTGAAATGGACAAATTTATAAGAGAAAAAGTTTCAAAAGAAGTATTGAAAATTATTAAGATTGGATTTGAAGAGGAACATGCGGATAATTTAACCAAGTCTTTTGGGTACAATGCAACACGATTTTCTTATAAAAAAAAATGGGATTAAGCGATCTATTTCAAAAGGAATATTTTTTTTGTGTTTAAGTTGTAGGGGATGTTGAAATATCTAATATTTCATTCAGAGTCGGTCCTCAAAAATTAAATATTTTCAAAGGCCTATAACGAACCAGAAAAAAAAAAAAAAAAAAGGTCCTTATCGTTATTATAAGTTTTTATTTTTAAATAAAAATATATAATAAAAAAATTGGACTCTGTGCAATTGCCCACTCCGCACACCCTCAGCTAGCCCTGTCGAAAATTCCCGATACCCGAATTACCTGCCCGATTCTTTTGGGTATCGGGCAGGTAATCCGATTTTTTTTCAGGTCGGGTACGTTTGTTGGGTTTCGGGTAGACACGAATTACCCGAATTATTTTAAAAATTCTTTTTTTTTTTCGTAAAGCTTGTACTCTGTAGCAGGTTTTTGATCACGCTTAAAGTAATTATCATTATTGTAAAAAATGAATCTTTTTTATTATGACAATATGACACTAGCAATATTAAAAATAATTGTTTATATATCATCATGTTCTTTAAAACTTAACTATTTTCTAGATTATAGTTTTTATTGCAACTAACAAACCCATTATCTTAACGAAACTTCTATACATACAAAACTTATGACTACAATTATCTTAAACATTTTAAACTTTTAAATTAAGATCTTTAAATATTTGTTTTTTGAACATCTTATTAGATTAAATTAAGTTGTTAAAAACTTACTTGATATCTCATGTATTACTGACTAAAATATCTCAATATTCAAAGTTTGAGTAATTTCGTTTATGCCTTGTTTGCTTATATAAACAAGACTAATAAAGCACGACGTATTTATTTCATTAAATTTATTTTCAGGTGAATTTCAAAAAAAAAAATTATATATTTCGGGTAATACCCGAATTACCCAAACCCAACCCGATACCTGAATTTAATTTGGACCGGCTAACGGATATTTTTTAACATGAAAAACCCGAATTACCCGAAACCCGAAAAAATTACCCGATCAACACCCCTAGCGCCCCCTATGATTTCATTTATCCACAAACTAAACCAAGGTACAATAATCATTTTATAATTCTAACTTGATTTGTTTAGTGTAGGTAACTTTAGGGGCTTAATCGGAGGACAATTGATTGTTGATTAAGGTTGAGGATTGAGAAATGGACTGGAAGTGACAAGAGTGTAATTTTGCATGGACTGCAGCTCGCATTGTGAGAAGTTGTTAAAAGGCACGCGGGTCGTCTCAACATGATCCAGTATCAACCTGTGGTATATAATGCTTAAACTCTGTGTGGTCATATAATAATATAAAGTCAAGTTTTTAACATTAAAATTCGTTGAGCAGGCATACTTAAGATTCAAGCATCTCGAGCAATAATGACAATAGATTGTAATCGACTCTTAACGTTTGACTAATTTAGATTCGCAGTTTCTGTATTAAGAATTAAATTCATTTTAGTTACAGTCTATATTGGCTTATTTAGTTAACCTTTAGATTTTGTGTTATATATATCTACTTATATTTGAGATTTTTTATTCATGCTTTAAGTTAATTAAAAACTATTTCGTCCAAAAGGATCTGCGATAGATCAAACTCACCCCTATTCTTTCTACGCTATATAAATTCAACATTGTTATACATCAAATTACTCACCAAGACATGAAGAAGTCTCTACTAAGCTCTTCCATCTTCATCTTGGTTCTAACTCTTTCATTTTCTGTTTCATGGGCAGCTATATCTTCCGCCCATGGTGTAACACCACATTCCGAAGATTTCATACATTGCATAAAATCCAACTCCCACAATGTCACCTCCATCTCTAAACTCATTTTCACCTCTGTGAATGCTTCTTTCCTACCCATTTGGCAAGTCGCAGTTGAAAACACTAAGGGTGCGTTTAGTTGCGGAAAAATGGACCGTTTTCCGGAAAAATTTTCCAAGAAAAATGAGAATTTTGAAAACGCGTTTAGTTCGTCTATTTTTCTAAATTTTTCACGGAAAATGAAAATTTTCCGTTTTCTAAAATTACAAAGAAGTTGGAAAATTTTGGAAAACTGATAATCATTGTTTTCCATATTTTTCTAATTCCAAAATTTTTCTATAAACACACACCCACTTCACCCCATCCACTTCTACCTACTCCCACCTTAACACCCCCCACCCACACACACATACATACCCATCCACACACACACACCAACACACACACACCAACCCACAAACACACACACATACATACCTACTCACACACACCCCAACCCCCCCCCCCACACACACACACACCAACCCACCCACAAATACACACACTTACACATACATACCCACACACACACCCACCCGCACACACACACATACACACCAACCCACACACACACACATACATACCCATCCACCCACACACACACACATACATACCCACCCACACACACACAACCACCGACAAACACACACACACACACACAACCACCCACAAACACACACACATACAAATACATACCCACCCACCCACAAACACACACACATACACATACATACACACCCACACACACACACACACCCACAAAGACACACACCCACACACACACCAACCCACAAACACACACACACATACATACCCACCCATACACACACACGTACACACACACATACATACCCATACACCCACACACACACCCACACCTACCCCACCCCACCCTCACAGACACACACACCCACACACACACACAAACCTACACCAACCCCCACAAACACACATACACACACAAACACACACTTGCACCCCCACCCACCCAACACCATCACAACAATCACCGACCTACCATCACCACCACTACCACTAACCCGTCACTAGCACCACCACCATCACCACCACTGACAAAATTGACGCCGCCACCACCATCGCCTCTCATCACCACCACCGACGCCGACATGTTACCGTCACCGCCCCCACCCACACCCTACTACCACTACCGTTTTTTTTAAATGAAAACCGATAGAAAAATAGACATCTAACCACGTTTTCTAATTTTCTAAAACTGAAAATGAAAAATGAATAAGTTTAACTACACGCATTTTCTAAATTTTTCAATGAAAAATGAAAACGGAAAATGAAAATTGAAAAGGGAAAACAAAAAACGGAAAATGAAAACTGTTTTTCCGTAACTAAACGCAACCTAAGGGTGCGTTTAGTTGCGGAAAAATGGGCCGTTTTCCGGAAAAATTTTCCAAGAAAAATGAGAATTTTGAAAACGCGTTTTGTTCGTCTATTTTTCTAAATTTTTCACGGAAAATGAAAATTTTCCGTTTTCTAAAATTACAAAGAAGTTGGAAAATTTTGAAAAACTGATAATCATTGTTTGCCATATTTTTTTAATTCCAAAATTTTTCTATAAACACACACCCACTTCACCCCATCCACTTTTACCTACCTCCACTTTAACACCCCCACCCCCACACACACATACATACTCATCCACAAACACACACCCGCACACACACACACACACCAACCCACAAACACACACACATACACACCCACTCACACACACACACACCCCAACCCACACACACACACATACATACCCACACATACACACCAACCCACATACATACACACCCACCTACAAACACACACACTTACACATACATACCCACACACACCCACCCGCACACACACACACACACATACCCATCCACACACACACCCACAAACACACACACATGCATACATACCCACCCACCCACACACACCCACCAACATACACACGCACACACCAACCCACACACACACACACACACACACCCGCCCACAAACACACACACTTACACATACATACCCACACACCCACCCACAAACACACACACACCAACCCACAAACACACACACACCCACCCACAAACACACACACTTACACATACATACCCACACACCCACCCACAAACACACACACACCAACCCACAAACACACACATACATACATACCCACTCATACACACCATCCCACACACACACATACATACCCACACACTCACACACACACCCACACCTACCCCCACCCCCACCCACCCTCACAGACACACACACCCACACACACACAAACCTACACCTACCCCCACAATCACACATACACACACAAACACACATTCGCACCCCCACCCATCCAACACCACCACCACCACTAACCCGTCACTAGCACCACCACCATCACCATCACTGACAAAATTGACGCCGCCACCACCATCGCCTGTCATCACCACCACCGCCGCCGACCCGCTACCGTCACCGCCCCCACCCACACCCTACTACCACTACCGTTTTTTAAAAATGAAAATCGATAGAAAAATAGACATCTAAACACGTTTTCTAATTTTCTAAAACTGAAAATGAAAAATGAATAAGTTTAACTAAACGCGTTCTCTAAATTTTTCAATGAAAAATGAAAACGAAAAATGAAAATTGAAAAGGGAAAACAAAAAACGGAAAATGAAAATTGTTTTTCCGTAACTAAACGCAACGTAAGTTTCTTAAACTTTCCACTCGTAAACCATCAGTCATAGTGACACCTGTGGATGAAACACTGATCCAAACGGCTCTATACTGCGCCAAGAAACGGGGGACATGACGCAGAGGGCCGCTCCTACACTGCTAATGTCCCATTTGTTATGATTGATCTCACCAACATGAGGTCCGTAGACGTGGACTTAGCAAAGAAAACGGTGTGGCCCAGGGAGGCGCTACGTTAGGTGAACTCTATTACAGTATTATTCAGAAGTCCAAAACCTTGTTTTTTCCGGCGGGTCTTTGTGCTTCGGTGGGTGTTGGCGGACATATGGGCGGTGGTGGCTATGGAAACCTGATGAGGAAATACGGTACTGCTTCTGATAATGTTGTGGACGCTCGGTTCATGGATGTCAATGGAAATATTCTCGATAGGAAGTCGATGGGAGAAGATTTGTTTTGGGCGATTAGAGGAGGTGGTGCTTCTAGTTTCGGAATCGTTCTTGCATGGAAGCTGAAGTTGGTTCGGGTTCCGAAAAAAGTAACTGTTTTTATGCTGAGTAAGACTTTGGAGGAAAGAGCAACCGAACTTTTTCATAAATATCAATACGTTGCACCGACTATTGATAAAAATTTGCATATACGAACCGTGATGTCCGGTCAATATATCGGCAACACCACTAAAAAAACTGTAGTAATTACATTCCAAGGAGTTTTTCAGGGGAGAAGTGACACATTGCTTCGGTTGCTAGACCAAAAATTTCCAGAGTTGGGTGTTACACGGGAGATTTGTGAGGAGATGTCAATTCTTCAATCAACCATTGCGTTTTATGGGTTGCCAAGCTCCACCCCAATTGAAATTGTCACAAACCGATCTAGCATACCCAAGGTGAACAGCAAAAGTAAAATCGACTTTGTCCGGACACCGATCCCTAAAAGTGGGCTCAGAAAGATTTGGAGAAAAGTTATGGAAAGTGATGGATCGGAGCTTCTTGGCAGCAATCCGTTTGGCGGAAGGATGGCTGAGTATTCTGAGACTGCAATTCCGTATCCTCATAGAGCTGGGGTGTTGTACCAGTTATTCAAGAATGTCAATTTTTACAATCAACCTTCAGACACGACAACTATAGCGCTCAAGAGGATAGCATGGTTGGATAGCTTGGAAAAGTTACTGACACCTTATGTGTCGAAGAACCCAAGGGAGGCGTATTCCAACTATGCTGATCTGGATTTGGGTGTTGGAAATGCTACTTATGAAGAAGCGAGTGTTTGGGGCGAGAGATATTGGAAGAGGCGTAATTTTAAGAAGTTGATTCAAATCAAGGCTAAAGTTGATCCAGAGAATTTCTTAAGGTACCCGCAAAGTATCCCTGTTTTCTAGACATTTCTATCCCATATGTCAAGCTCTTCCAGTGAAATGATCCAATGTTCGGATTTACTTTTTAGTTTTTTCTTTTTATGTTTCAATAAGTGGAATTGATTCCCCCAATGTTGGATCTTATCTTGAAGATCAAGAAACACTTCACCCAATGTCATCAGAATTTCTATATTTTAAAAACTTAAATGGATATTCACGCTACATCAAAAACAAAAAAGTTCAACAAACTTGTGTGAAGTTTTTCACAAAGCTTATTCAAGCTTTGCAAAGCAAAAATCCTGCGGTATATGGTCCAATATGTGGGCTAACAATATTACACTTCATCGTGATGGGTCTCACTAAGAAAGATAACTTATAATTGGTATATTCTTCAAACTACAATCCGTAAAAAGAAAAAATATGGAAGTACAGTTCCATAATATAGAAATATGAAAGTACATTTCCTATTTTTTGACATGTTCAATGATATTATTAGAAAGACAATCTAACTTTTATTTATTAAAGCAATTTTTAGGTTTCATGTATTTGAATACACTTTGAATAATTTTCAACCCATTGATAAGTAGCACAATACCTGATAAGGTTTTACCATTGCATTTCGCATCTATTGAATTGGACAAAATTGCAATTCTTTCTCCCACCCAAAATGAGAAAACAAGGTTGGAAAGAGACTTGTTATCGATTGTCCAAAAGACATAAATACCCTCATCACCAATAGTACCAATGTCCCAACTATTTTGCTAATATGATTGATTATATTACACTTCCATAGATTAAAACTAAGTTGAAGATTCTAAATCCTATTCCCAAAACATCCATTATCCCTAAACCACAACCAAATACAAATCTTTATGCAAAACTAAAATATCCAACAAAAAAAAAAAAAAAAAACATGAATTATTCCAAGGTTTTAAGAAGGCGAAACAAACCTGCAGCTTCCCGGATCCTAGAAAACTCGATACAAAACGCCTGAACCTCAATAAACAAATCTTGAACATTAATAATCTTGTTCCTGATCAAACTCTGCAGAAAAACACACACAAGCCTCACCAACCGATTCTGCATGTACTTATCCTTAATATTCTCACATGATGATATACAATTCGTTATGTACATGTGTACAAACTCAGTCGGCAGTTCAACCGCAGTGGTCAACCGGTTGACCACCTCCATCGAATGCAAACTCATGTCCATATTCACCAGAACCGTAAAATACTCCGAAATTTCCGGCGAGTTCATCAGCTTAATCAGCACCTCCACCGCTATCAGAGGGTTGTTCTCCACCAGCTCCGGCAGCTTCCGTGGTGTTAAACCGCAGTGGTACACCAGTTTGGGGTCGGAAGTTAACTCAAGTAAAACTTGTTCTTGTTGAGATGGAGCCAACGGGCCTTTTAGGGCTTTTAGGATTAGTTCACGGACGGCTGCACCACGGCTCGTGTCGGCACACATCCCGGTGTCCCAAAGCGGTTCGTGGGTCGAGTCGGGGTTAACCCAGACGAGTTCACCATCTAGCACCGGGAGGCGAGGCGGTGTTGGGCGGGTCCAATGAGGGTAGAGCACGTCCAATGATAAAGTTTGAAGTAGACCGGTTATGGCCTCGCTCCGGTCACCGGAGCCGATCTTTGGCGGCGGGAACTCAAACTCCGGCGAGTTGATGTCGCAACCGCGGGGGATGTCGGGATCCGGTATCGCGTTTTTTATCGCGGTGTTTTTGAAGAGGGAATTGAACGGTTTGGGGAGGGGGTTTTCCGGCGGCGGCGGTGGCGGCTCCGGGAACCGGTGAGATGAAGGATCGAATTTGGTAATGAAATCCGCCGGAGATAGTTTCATCACCGGAGATGTGGTTGGAGAGGATAGGAGATGAAGGATGAATGCACGTTCGAAAGTTTCGGTTTTTTCGTCATTTGCAGTGTTTTTGAGCAAAGAAAGGTAGGGATTGGTGGATGATTTAAGGGGGGAATATGTGTGATGAATTAATGCAAATGCAACCAATCGTTCGGTGGATTTTAGGAATTTTGGGGTGTCATCCAAGAGAATGACAAGTGCTGAGAAGATTTCACTATGCATTGATTTTGGGATTTTTGAGGAGAAATCGTTTATGATGTCTTCAAGGGGTCGCTTTTCACCATCTTTAAGTAGGGAATATAGGATTGATGTTGCCGGTTTCGTGATCATCTTCTATTAAGAAAATAAAGTAGAGATTAGATGAGTTTATAATGTTGATTAACGAAAAATATGCAGAGAATAGTCAAATATTACAAAATTTAGCCTATTATCGCAATGAAAATTGATTTGTATTGAATGACATTGCTATAATACGGTAGATTTTGCCCAATTATAGATTGTCTTGCTAATATCAAGAATGTAAATTGGCAAAGTGCTAATGTTTACAAGCTCTTAAATAAGGAGGCATACATTCATTACATAAATCAGTGAGGATCACACCCATGTCCCATGTCAATTCATTATGATTACAAATTATGGCCAAAACTTAAAGCAGGAAAAAAAAATCATCCAATTATCTTTTCTAGGCAACATATGCATTAAATGGATAAAACCCAATTATATCTTGGAATATTTTAAAGCATTATAAGAATTACTACTTCACTAACTTCTTTAAGAGAAACATATATGCTTGTTGTTCTTCTATAAAAATTGCTACAACGAATAACAAAATAAGAATATGATCTCTGTTCCACATAAGCATTCAGTAGATAAAGTCAAAATATCATCTCAGAGTCAATTTAAACATCATAAAAATCAGGAATCAATACATGAAAATCAAATAGTCGCCGTTTTACTTCGAAGCAAGATACATATGTGTGGATAAAATTAGATATAATCTTGAAGTAAATCAAGTAATTAGCATAGATAGAATCAGTAGTTCACTACAGGCTAAAATCCCAACTCTTAAGTACACGCGCATTCAATGAGTATGATGAAATAAAATAGTACAGCTAAAGCCTAAAAGTACTATTGAAATCAGTAAGTCTTTAACAGATGCTCTCCACAGCTAAAAGCATCTCTGAGATCAGTAATTCGACCTCACAAATCGTAGAACTCTTAAGGGAATACCCAACTTGCATCAAGTAGCTCCTATCAGATGCTCTCCATAGCGATCACGCACAGAAAAACACCTAAAATGCAATTTTGATTGAAACTTAACGAACCGTGACCTACTTTTACAGGAATTAAAATGTTCTGAAGCAAAAACTAACACAGAACAGCAACGAAAATGCAATTTTGATTGAAACTTAACGAATCGAGAATCTGTATCTAGAGAAATCAAAACTTTTGAAACAAGAACTAACACAGAAAAACAGCTAAATTGCAATTTTCATTGAAACTTAACGAATCGCGAATCTGCTTCCCGGAAATAAAAAATTATTGACGCAGGAACTAACCTTTGAACGAGGAATCGCCGAATCGCTGAGACGCTGTAGCCTGAAGAAATTCTCTGATCGAGCAGTGAGATGGCTAAAGGGATAATAACGTTGCTAGGGTTTCAGAGTTCCATAGCAAAGTAGATTTGGATTGGAACCAATTTTATTTGTTAAGTTATCTCCAAAAATATATTACCAAATAAAAATAAATAAATATCGTTAACTATTAAAATATTAATTTTTATAATAATTAGAAATCTAATATAATATATTAGAGTAAATTATTGAAATCAGTTTAGTAAAAATTACATATTTAATCCCTAACGTTTCTTTTGCACTCGAATCATCCCTATGGTTGATTTTGTTGCGTTTTTCGTATCTATGGTTTGATCAAAATTGCACTTTTGGTCCCTAACATTATGTACGTAAGGGTCGAAAGACGCAACAAAATCAAACCACAGGGACAATCCGGATGCAAAAAAAAGTTAGAAACCAAACGTGCAATTTTGACCAAACCATAGGGACGATTAAGATAACTTACTCAATATATTATTACTGTCTTTATATGATAAAGAAGAATCAAGGTAAAATTGCAAAAATGGATCATATGGTTATCAAAATTATGTAGTTTAGGTTTATAAATGTTTTGTGGTGTAAAAGTGGTCCATTTTTGGATATCTTGTGCATTTTTTGTCTAAAAATGTTAACTTTAACAGTTTGGTTGTTAATTTTTTTTAAAATGACAATTTTATCATCGGGATCATTTATATAACCAAACTACACGGATCATTTATGCATCTATTCTTTTTAATTTTATTCAATTATAAAACATTAACTTTTTTATTTAATTTTTTTAATTTCTTTTAATTAGATTAATTTTTATATATATATATATATATATATATATATATATATATATATATATATATATATATATATATATATATATATATATATATATATGAAACGACCCAAAAACACGACCCAAAAATTTTCGTTTTTCAATATAATCTAAACCGTAATATAAGTATCATAACATAAAGCATACGCGATGTATCCCCAAAACATAGTAAAATATTGTGCGGAAAACTGTATCATACAACATCAATCCAAAACATCAAAAGACATCCCCAGGATAAAAGCTATGATGTGGTGTGTGCGATACTGTCACCCCGAGCTCTTCCCTTTGTTTGCGGAAGTACCTGAAACCAAACTGAAACTGTAAGCACGAAGCTTAGTGAGCTCCCCCAAACTACCACATACCATACAATAACATATAAACACATATTGGGCCTTGCCCACTGCATCGGGCCGAAGCCCGGAAACTGCATCGGACCGAAGTCCGGAACTGACTGGGACCTTGTCCCCTGCATCGGACCGAAGTCCGGAACTAACTGCATCGGACCGAAGTCCGGAACTGACTGGGACCTTGTCCCCTGCATCGGACCGAAGTCCGGAACTAACTGACTGAACATGGCATCGCATAACACATCAACTAGCATAACACATATACGACATGCTACATCGGGCCGTGGCCCGGAACACATAGTACATAACACATAAAACATAGCACACAAATCCTGTTCGAACCACGAAGGCATCGAACATACTAACTACTGCATCGGACCTAAATCCGGAAACTACTGCTAACTGAACGGGCCGGCATTGTGGCCTTAGACCTGTTCCTACTGGAAGGAAACTCACCTCGTAAGTTGGCTGCTGAGTGTGTGGCTCGGGAAGCTAACGGCGGCTGCTCCTGAATCTCCTCAGCTACAAGTCCATAAACACACTCAATCAAATACTAAACACTGCGCTTGGGGTAAAATGACTCTTTTACCCTCGGTCAAAGTCAATTATCTTTTGGGCTGACTCGCCGAGTTGGGCCACCCAACTCGCCGAGTCCCACTCTTACTTTTCACTCTTACTCACTGCTACTCGTCGAGTCTGGCATCGACTCGACGAGTACCCTCTTGATCCAAGAACTCAGACAATCTTCATCCGACTCGCCGAGTCGTATGAACAGACTCGACGAGTTGTTCTTGATCCCAAGAAGATTGCCTTGGACTCGCCGAGTTGTATGAACAAACTCGTCGAGTCCCTCCATCACTGAGTCTACTCTCAACTCGCTGAGTCCACTTCCTGACTCACCTCGTCCACTCGACACTGATAAAACTGAAGGACTCGGGACTCGCGACCCGACTCGTCGAGTCGTTCTTCCGACTCGCCGAGTCGCCGCCATGCAACTGATTTTTACTTGATTTTGTTTGAATCCAATGCATACAATTGATAGATCTGAGTCCAATAAGCTGTTTTACCACGTAAAGTTTCCAACTTTACGTGCACAACCTCATGAATAAGGGAAATAAGGCTAAAAGATGCATAAAATGGGTAGATCTATGGTTATCATGCAATATAACTCCAAAAAGACAGTAGATTTGGGCTCTACAACACCCCAACATTCAGATCCATAGATATATCGACTTAATAAGACGTTCATGCAAGTGTAAGGCTTGAAACAAGCACCAACTAGCTCTTAGGAGAGCCCTAATGGAAGTTTAAAGCATATAATAAGATGGAACTCCGAAAATACCTCAATAAACTCTGATTTGGCCTTGGATCTTTGCACCACAACCCTTCTCCTTGCTTCTTTCTTCTTCTTCTTCTTCACACCTTCACAAAGAGGGTACCAAAACACATATAAGCTCTTCAATGGGGGTTTGGGGCTCTATCACTGCGTTCTCAGGGTGAGGGAGGCGAGAATGGGGGCTATAAGGTGGTATAAATAGTGGGCAACCCGACGATTTTAGGGTTTCACCCAGATAGATGGACTCGCCGAGTCGGGGATATGGACTCGTTGAGTCCCCAGCTCACGCGTGCCCTCAGACGCGACCCTACTCGGCGAGTCAGGCTAGAACTCGCCGAGTCCCTCTTGAAAACTCACTATAATTACCAATAAATCAACATACCGGGAACGGGTCGTTACAATATATATATATATATATATATATATATATATATATATATATATATATATATATATATTATTTTAAAATATAATATTTACATTAAAAAATATTGGGCTTAATGTTGACCGATTATTTAAGGTTTTAGTTTACTACTACTAAATGTGTGAGACCGTGTGATCCATGTATTAATAGATTTATTCAAAAATAATATGAAGGCGTGACGGATTCAAAAAAAAATTATGTTGGGGCACATACGAACATCTATATGATAGATCAAGTTAAACAATTAAAATAACTAATTCGGTCTTGTGGTTTTATTAGTTCTTTTCACCCTTTATTCAGTCTGGTTTTACTTTTTTTGATCCAGTTTTGGTTTTTTTCATTCGGTTTCAGTTTTTTCAATTCAGTTTTGTAACCATATTGCAAAAGTATTCTGGTTTAACATAGTACACACAAAAGCATCCAAATTCGTAACTATATAGCTAAACTATTTTGCATAATATTGATTATTAACTAAGTACTTAAAGTATATATATATATATATATATATATATATATATATATATATATATATATATATATATATATATATATATATATACTAATAAAATAGTAGTTGTTTTGACATTGATCATCATATTAGACATCTTAATTAATGTGTTGATACTTGTCAATCTATTAATTCTCTATTTTAAATTTATTAGACATCATCATTAATTTGATGCTATTTGTTAATGTATTTATTCTCTATTTTAAATTTTCAATTTAAATTTTAAATTTTAAAATTTAAATTTATATTATTGTTTTCATTAATTCACAAATAAAAAATGCCTAATATATATTAAATTTAATTTTACGTATTTATTTGAATCAACGATTATAATTTCATATAACTAATAAAAACATCTCTTAATTAATAATTTATTTAAAATAATTGATTAATAATTTTGAGTTTTTACTATAAAAGTTTAATTAATTTTATAACCGTAGTTCCCACGGGTTATAAACTAATATATATATATATATATATATATATATATATATATATATATATATATATATATATATATATATATATATATATATATATATATATATCAGTGTTGTAAAAATCGATCTAGGCGGCCGCCTAGGCGCTAGGCGGTTTGCAACTGATTACGATTAGGGGTGCTAGGCGGAAATTGGTCAATATCGGTCAAACTCGGGCTAGGCGGTCCTCGGCGGTCCTTGGCGGGAAGATTTTAAAAAATTCAAATTTTCAAATTTTCAAATATTATACCAAAATTTTCAAAACTTTAAAACTTTAAATTTTTAAATATTCAAATTTTCAAATATTATTACCAAATATTTCAAAAATTCAAAATTTAAAAATTTTAAATTTTCAAATACTATTTTTTCTTAGGATATATTAAGTTTTAATATAGTTTTATTAGTAATTTATGGTCCCCGATTAATCCTCCGATTAATCCCCGCCAAACCAATTAATCGTTTGACCTCAGTCGACCGCCGAGCTACCGCCGAGCGATTTTTATAACCTTGATATATATATATATATATATATATATATATATATATATATATATATATATATATATATATATATATATATATATATATATATATTAACATCAGCAAAATATTATATCAAAATAAATGCTAGTTCATAAATAACTAATTTTTAAACGTACCAATCGACAATATGGGGTAGATAATCGATAAATATAACTATAAACGATAACAAAATGATAATTTATGTTTTGTTTTTCAGGTTTCATCTTTTATGCACTAATTGAAAAGGCATGGTTTTGGAGCCCAACTGTGTATAATTTCTTAATTGAATGAGAAAGACAATAAGGGAGAGATAGGGAGAGATAGAGGGGTTGGGGATGGGTGTGCGGTTATGGGCAATAACATATTTTTTTAATATTCAAAAATAATAAATAATAATAATAAAATGAAAAATAATTATCTTAATGATATAATAGTATTTTTAGTTTGTACAGAAATCAATTGCACAATGAAACCAATGAATAAGGATCAAATCCATATTTTTCAAACGTTCAAACTGTACCCACATAAAATGATAAACTATCGACATTCTTACAATTTTATATATTTTTATTAACACTGATTAGCCAAATAACCGAACACTCATTCAATCTCTTGTTGGTTCTACAAACATTTTTGGGTGTTTGTTTCGGATGATTTTTAGTTGAGAAAAATATTGTTTGTTTTTTAGAATAACAAAAGAAAACAAAAAGTCTTATTGACCACTTTATCAATATGAGAAAAAAATAGCTTCTAATTCTGAAAGATGTTTTCTAAGTTAAAACAATAATATGATATTTTTTTTCCACCACAACCATTGTAGCGGCCACTGTTATTGTCACCACCACCGCATCCGTATCTGCCTCTACCACTACCACCACCACCAACTCCTTCTCCGCCGCCACCACCACTGCCACCTTCACCATCACCTCTACATCTGACACTACTAACCCCACCTTTACCTCCGCCGTAACCATCACCAACATCACACTACCAATAACACTCATCTTTATTATGAAGATTTTAAAAAAACAAACAATATTTTTAAATAAAATTAAAGATATGGAAAAAGGCTTTTGGTATATTCCATATATATATATATATATAAAAAAATTTAAAAAAAAAAAAAACTAAAAATATGAAAACATTTTACCTCTTGAAAATCAAACAGCTGCTCAAAATAGGGATGGTGTATCATGATGGGTCATTAACTCGAATTACTACACACATCTCTTATAAGTATTCTTTTATTGGAAATTTATCGAGCATCACAACTGATGGCTATCATTTGAATTACTGTTCGAGTTATAATTTCACTTTGCTGGATTTTTTAATCTAAACCTTAATCATTCACAGAGAATCATGTTGGAAAAAAAGAAAATTGTTTAATTGCTTTTATTTGAATTTCAATTTTTTATAATTTAAATTTACAGTTTCACAAATGGGTAAAATCCTTTATTATTAGGTTTCAAAATTGCATTTCAGTAAAATCAAAGATTTTAGTGGTTTTTGGCCCGTTCATTTGGGTTTCCCGATTTATTAGGATGTCCAAATGCTAATTCAATGAGTAAATGAGTATTAGCAGGGATTTCATCCCAAAAAGTGATGTTATAATTTCTCTCCTAATAATTAATAAATAAATCCTTTATTGCATATCCTTTTATCCCAGTAATCATTGGTCCTTTGATGTGAGTTGCATTTTATTGGAGAAGAGTTCTTAGAACTATTTTTGCATGATTGATTAGAAGAAGGTTGAAGGCATCAAGATTCAAGAAATCAAAGAATTGGAGAATACTTTGGGATATGAAGGGGATACTCGATTGAAGAAAGATGTGACAAAAAGGATATGGATTTGTTTATGAAGACTAGAGTGGAAGATTGGAATGATTTGGAGTTAAAGTTGCGAAGGATAGTGAAAAATAAGGTGTTCTTTGATCTTATGAGTTGGGTTTGGCATTTAGTAAATGTGGTTAAATTTGTTAGGAGAAGTTGTATTTTGTTTTGGCACTTAGTTGATATGTGGCTAGATTGAACTCTTTGTAATTTTTAAATATTTGGAATAAATATTTGTACACCTTCATCACCATGACAAAGTGGTTCTGATTATGGAAATATATATTTCTTATTGCCCAAACATACATGCAAATCACAAAATTTCCAAATTTTTGTCACCTCAAAATCATATTATTTTTATAAGAGAAGCTCAATTTTAAATAAACCTCTCCCGCTCTTTTGTAAAAAAAACTGCATATAATTATAATAAAAAGAATCTACATTTCTTATGCTAAAGGCCTTTCAATACAAAAATAAACTCTGAGAACCTATAGATAAAGTCCATGTTACACAAGACACATGCTGCTCTCTAATATATTTACTTAATTTTAAATATAAATCACTAAAATGACATAAACCACACCCTCCTATATATATCTTCAATCTCACAATCAACCAGTGCAAAAACTTCAAAAACATGTTCTATATATTATATTTACAAGCTAAAAACTTCATAAAATCCTGTATCTGTATGTAAGCTTTCTCAATCAAGAAGCATTGCTACTGCATCCCTGAGGCTGCTTTTCTTCTTTGTTAGGTTGAGTGGTTTGTTGGAAACAACAGCATCATGTTGTTGTAGATTCTCAACTTCATGGGTAACAATCATATCCTTAATTGAAGTATCCTCTTCTTTTCTTATTGATTTCTTTAGTAAAGGCCCCAAAAGCAAATCAAGCATGTCTTGAGCTGCATCCCCTGTTGTAGTCTCAGTAGACTCATAATGTAAAGCAGTTTCTTCCTGGGCAGGTGATTTAGTAGCTTGAGGGGCATTGAGGGAAGTTTTGATTACAGAAGAAGAAGAAGAAGAATGTGAAGACTTTCTTTTTAATAGTCCTTCTGATGACTTCTGGTGATTCATATCACTCTTTTCATTTTCAACAAACTACAAAAAAGTTACCCAAAAACAGGCTTTAGGAATGAGTAAACCTCACAGTAAACATGTACATAGAATATAAAAAAAAAAAAAAAAAAAGATTTACCTGTTTTGCAATGCTTAATAGATCATCAATGGTCAGATCCTCATCATCTTCATCAGAAGATTGAGCTGTATGTTCTTCCTTTGTTCTTGAATGGTTGGGTTCTTCAACCTTCCTCCTAACCTTTCGAAGCTTTTTCTTCTCAAGAACGACTTCTTGCTTGAAGTCATGAGACTCATTCACATCTTTTTCATCAGTTCCTCTTTTCTTTCTTTTTGTTTCACACTTGACTAGAAAACTCTTGTCATCACTAGAAGGGCAGAACTCTTTTTTGTGCTTCAGGGATACGCCTTTTCCTCTGGGTATTGCAGATTTGGTCCCAAGATTCAATTCCGCCTTATCGTTCACATCCTTGTCAAGGGTTTTACTCACTTTATTAGTTGTCGATGCACCTATCATCCATGATGGTAATCTTCTCTTTTCTTCCATTTTCACTTTTTTTTTTTCTAAGGGATTAACATTGCCCTAGAATTTCTTCAATCTTTTACCATAAAAAAAAAAAAGGACAGGATTACATGAAAAGTTTGAATTTCTCCTAGAAAAGAAGGTAAAAGCGATAAGAACAACGGAAGTTACAATTCGTATCAAGAGGCCATTGAGATAACAACTAGAAACAACAAATTCGTAACTTTAATCAATTATCATAACCCTAACTAAATGTTTTGCAAGAAATATGGAACTGTTAAATACGAGCGATCAAACTGTTTTGTTGTTTTAGCAACAAACGAAGATCCAATACAGTTTTAGCTTGAACAATAAACCTAATAATAAACTGCAAACAGAAAATTATACAAATTTAGCACAATACCAGACTCTAGGGCTCAATTCGATCAATCTCCGCGACGATCAGCTAACCAATCAACCAATTAGAGATCAAACAGGTGTAATGGAGATTGATTGGGGTAAAACTTCTTGAACGCAAAGTCTTCGTTAAGATGGACCCTCGAATATTTTGATCCGTACAAGGGAAGCCGTTTTGGTTTAAGGTGTACGGACCACCAAATAGTACCGGTTCAGAATCAGACAACATCTTAAAACAAAAATTATTAAAACATAAATTATTGATAAATTGTTGCGTAGGAAGAAAAAAATTATTATCTATAAAAACCTCATAACCCTTATTTTACCAAATTTAGTCCCAATTCTTCTATCGTTTTATATCTATTTCTCTTAAAATCATTAGAAAAGATCGTCATCTTCGTCTTCTGAAGAATTTCAATTTATGTTTGAAGTTGTTATCGGTGTTGGTTAGATAGCGCAACAAACGTATAACACTTTATACAATAATACACCCAAGAGTTCACAAGAGAGATCAATAATATTCAGAGAAACTGTGAATCAACCCACTAACGCTGGATGCAATACTACGTTTGACGAGCATGCCACTTTTCAAGGATGTCATTTTCGAAGACGGTTCAAACCTTTATACTCGTATAGTGGAAGATTTGACGAGCCAACAATGTTCTGATGCTAGAGGTACATCCGATTTCACTCTCTTACAAAATGCAGGGTCGCACTTCGTCAACTAGCATATGACATCCCTCCTAATGTGTTGGACGAGAGTTTTAGGATGTCCGCTAGGATCGCATGAGACAGTCTCCATTTTTTTTAACATTTGTGATTCAGATTTACGATCAAAAATATTTACGTAAGCCTACACACAATGACTTCCTACATTTGAAAACTCATCATGCTACTGTACATGGTTTTCTTGGATTGTTAGAAAGTTTAGATTGTCTCCATTGGGCATGAGAAAATTTTGCCCTACGTTACAGCATGGGCAATTTACACGAGGTGATCATGGTCATCCAACGGTCATACTTGAAACAATGACGTCACAGGATATGTGGATTCGGCGTGTGTCACACCCCAAGTTACCGGTGAAAATGCTGAGGTGCGCAACGTAAATCAGTAATCACAATTATTGAATATATATTGAACAGTACAAATATAATCTTCTATTATTACCGAAATAGAAATTATATTGATAATGACTATTGCTAAATTATGACACATGCCTAACAATCTAGCGTTTACAAAGGTATAATATAAAGAGCAGATAATCTTCTGAACGAACACTTTCGACATACTAAATAACTTGAGAATACATGCATTAAACTACGTGAATAAAAATGTTGAGTTCTACAGGTTTGACACAAAGTATTTTTATAACCAAAAGTGTTTTATAAATTTAACTGATTGACCAGCTTTTATAAATACTTACTTTTATATCGAGAGTAAAAGATAAATGAGTTATAAAAATGTATTTGATCTCACTTAGTAACATCATTTTTTTTCAACTCCAAAAATACAAAATTTGGTGAAATACATATGAGTCAGACTTATATCAAATTTTAACGGTTCTTATAACTAAAAATGCATTTTTATATAAAGATTTTGAATATCAAGTTATATAAAAATAAGGTATGTTACCCTTTACAAGAACATAAAATAACCAACTTGACTCTTGAAGTTTTGTACATGAAATGATATAGTTTATATGTAAAATTCATAGGTTTTGAGTTTATAAAACTTGTAAGATTGTGTCATAGTAGTTATTAAGTGTTTTCTTACTTAATTTTTGGTATTGACACTACTCATTTTGAGTCACAAACTATCCCACTACATACAGTCTCTTCTAACTAATATAAGTGAACAAAAACCCAATTTAATTCCAATATTAATTCTATGCAGCAACAGAACAAAACCGGGAACTACAATGAGTTCAGAACCGAATTATGACACTACACTACAACACTAGCTCCCAAAAATCGAGTGTACTGATAGTCATCCTCGATGTTTTCATACGTAGTGTAATAAATAAAGATTGGATGTCAACCTAAAACCGAACTATGACAATACACTATAGCACTAGCTCCATAATCGAGTGTACTAATAGTCATCCCCAATGTTTCAATACGTAGTGGGATGAATAAAAACTGAACGTCAACGTCTAATTCGTTTCGTCAAACGAGGTTGTACCTAGCAACTCCAGGCAGTCAGTCGAACCATATAAGTCCAATAATACGAATCTTATATTGTCGATCTTCGTTCCTCTCGGATTAATGGTTATAAAAATATAGAGGGTTTCCACCAAGTCACGGAGTCTTGGTATCCCCAACAACATAACTCAAATGGCTTATGAAACGAACCTAACTCATATGAGCGGTCGATGGAAAGTTGTTGACAGGTCTCCGATAGCGGTTAGGAAATCACGAGAGGGCGCCGACAAAAGGTTGTCGTCGGTGTGTTCTTCCTTTTTCTGGTCCGATAAGCAGTAAAAGCGAATGGGGAAGGATAGGCGGAGCAGATCGGCACGCAGCGGTGGAGAGATGGTTATGTGGCGGTTTTAGATGAAGCACATGAGGAAAATGAGAGAAATGACGCCCTCTTATTCACCGGAAAATCCCATCTCCGGTGGTGTATGTTTGGCAGAAAAATAGAGAAGAATTGGAGGGTGAGAGCAGCGGCCTAAAGAGGCCTGTTGCCCTCTTGAAAGTCGAAAAACCCCACCTTCGGTGGAGGTTTTCTTGATCAACATTAAAGAAGAAGGTGGGATGCAAAGAGAGAACGAAAGAACAAGCAGTTGGTAGGTTTCATGGGTTTACTCAGCAACCAAAAGAGAGTTGAGGAGGCTGTCTCAGCCAGTGAGGATATCGTCGACAACCTTCTTCAATTCCGGTGAAATAGAAAACGGGGGGGGGGGGGGGGGGGGGAGAGAGAGAGAGAGAGAGAGAGAGAGAGTGGAGATCGGGGTATAACAACAATGAGAGGAGGTGTTTGTGCTTGTTATTTCTCAAAAGCTTCAGGGGTGTTTAACTTGTTCCATTTTGAATGGAGGAAGGGTGATAGCTTGATTATTTGTATATATTTTAACAATCATTTTCTTTTACTTTTAGCATTTTTAATTGTCTTTTTGCATTAAATCATTAGATTTATTGTTTTGAATACTTTTACTCGTTTAAGCAAATTTTGTGTAGATTTATACGAGCAAGATGGTATTTTGGAGCATTGTTAAAGCCACATTGAATGTCTTGCAACCGCGATTGAAGTCTTGTAGAAAAATCCGGAAGCAAAAAGAAAAACCAAACGATATAAATTAATTTTTCGGATTTTGACAGCTTTGCATGGCTTTCTTCAAACGATCAGACGGAAGGGAAAACGTTGTCCGATTGAGCTGAAATTTTACGGACGTCTTCCCAACTCATCAATATTCGACCTCATAAAAATGAGCGGATTCGTACATGGTTGGGTTTTTGGTGTGATGAAGAACAATGCAGAAAGCTGCCAGCAACGTACATTGGTAGCCCATTATAGCCAGCAGCAGCCCAATATGAAGAATTCAACAGCCCATCTGAATAAATTATTGCAGCCCAATTTAAAAAGTATGAATCCCACTACTCTTTTTGTCAATGGCAAGAGAACGCAACAAAATAAAAATAGGGAGGGCATCTCAATTTTTTTTTTCATATGAAAAACACAGTGGAACAGGAGGGGGCGACGCCTCTTCTTGGGGATGTTTCTCCCTTGGATTCTTCTTTCTGTTCGGAAATTAAACAATATTATCATTGATATTTATGTCATGTGTGTTGTAATTAGTTATTTTCTTTAGATTAGATTAGGTTAATTTTTGTACTAATACTTTGATTATGGATGAAGTTTTTGGAGCAACAAGAAGAGACAATTTCAAAAAGTTGTCATCTTCATTTCGTAATCGATATTGGTATAATTTCTATCCTTTTTATTGTATCATTATTATATGTAGTTAGTTTTTATTTTCAATATTGGGTGAATCCATCGAACAATTAATTGATTAATAATATTTTTGTGTGGTTTTGATGGTATGTTGTCAAAATATTTTCTAGTAAAACATCTATTTATGGTCATATGTCTTTAATCATGAGTTTAGATTGATAAATTTCTTGATTAAGTAATAGATCCCCAAATTAACAAGCGACAAATGGTTCTTATGACTGTTTTCCTTTCACACAATCATGAAATTATTTGATCTAATATGATAGTGAAACATTTTGACTCATCTTGGATTTGGTGACTTTAAATCTTAATGCTTCTTAATTTTCATTAATTACACGCTTTATGGAAATTGTGTTATGAGTTTTTCTAACCATTGTATTAACTAAAAAAAATCTAGATGGTCTCAAGCTTCTTAGATTGTTATAGCCAAATTAGTATCCATTAAACCATTACACCACAAAATTATAACGATTAGTCAAACAGTTGAACTTACGATTTATCGTGATATTGAAACTTTTTGTTTTATAGCTTTTATATTTTGTTGTTTTAGCTTTTTATAAACTAGTTTTTATCGCATTTAACATTTTGAAAACCCCCATATAATTGTATATATTTATTTTGTAGAACTGAATGCATAGATTTGATTCAAACCAATCCATGTGGATTCGATCCCTATTACCGCTACTACAAATCATATTTGTATGTCGTGTTTAGGTTTTTTTTATGGGTTTAGGTCATTTTTGGTTACTTAACTTTTAGTTGTGTGTTTATTTGATCAGTTAACTATTTCTAAGTTTTAAAAGGTTATCGAACTTTTGGTTTTGTGCTCATTTAGTCACTGAACTTTTGTTTTGGTCACATTTTGTAACACCGTAAATTTTCAAATAAAATTTTCATTTAAAATCGCATAATTCTCATAACACGTTTCACAAAAATCTCATTTATTTAATTTACAAATTCGCAACTCCATAATTGTTTGATTAAAATCTAAAATCTTCAAAACATAACTCTTTCACTGGTGTGTACAATCAAGTCGACATCTTCCCGCGATCCTAATAAGAACCTGAAACACATAACACATAACACGGTAAGCACGAAGCTTAGTGAGCTCCCCAGAATACCACATACAAAACATTAGCCACTCGAGGTTGTAACTCTGTAAGACCCTCCAGTCTATGTGTCTCAGTGGGGGCCTCCAGTCTCATGGCTCGTTGGACCCTCTGGTCCGGTCTTAGTGAGGACCCTCTGGTCTCACAGCTCATTGGACCCTCCAGGCCGGTCTAAGTAACACAATATAGCATATATATAACACAGATAAATGTATAACTCAAGTAAGCACATAAGACCATCTGGT